ATATATATATATATATATATATTTATATATATATATATATATATACACACACACATATACGTGTATATATATATGTGTGTGTGTGTGTGTTTGTGTGTGTGTGGTCTAGAACAACATCAAAAGGAGCCAGTTGAGATGCTTCGAGCATGTCCGACTGGTAGGAGACCTCGGGGAAGACCCAGGACACGCTGGAGAGACTATGTCTCTCAGTTGGCCTGGGAACACCTTGGAGTCCTCCCAGAGGAGCTGGAAGAGGAGCTGTGGAAAGAGATGTCTGGACCTCCCTGCTCAAGCTGCTGCCCCCGAGTCCCAACTTCAGAATAAGCCGATGATGGCTGGATGGAACAACATGCTTCTTATTGCACATTCAATGAAATTAGCATAAAATCTTTAAAAACTCTTCTTTGTATTTTACTTTCTATGATTTATTTTTTGAAAGGACTCTGCTGTCTTTTTCATGATAAAATCTTAACAAACACACTCACTCACACACATGTCTTTCAGGAGCTCTCCAAGATTACAATGCCAGTGATTTTCAATGAGCCGCTCAGCTTCCTGCAGCGTCTGACTGAGTACATGGAGCACACGTACCTCATTCATCAGGCCAACTCGTCCTCAGATTCTATTGAGAGGATGAAGGTAGGACGCTTTTTAACTTCATTGATTTTGCATGAACAAATGACTTAAACTACCCCACTGTGGGCACAGTTAACGGGCTTTACTTTAGAGCTCAGTGTGTGTGTTCTCGTCTGCAGTGTGTGGCTGCGTTTGCAGTGTCGGCCGTGGCCTCGCAGTGGGAGCGGACAGGTAAACCATTCAACCCTCTGCTTGGAGAGACCTATGAACTGGTCAGGTGGGTGGTTTGTACTTTGGAGATCCTTTTATTGTTTGTTTTTGTACCATCAAATGAGTTATATGCATGTTACAGCTACGACCTTTGTTATCTATGGCCTCTTTTTCAAGTCTCGGTGTATGTCTCATTAAACTTTGACGTTATCTGAACAATAACAAACCTCGTGGTAATCCAATCATGTACGCTCAATTCTTTTGTTGTTGTTTTTCCCCCTCAGGGAGGATCTGGGCTTTAGGCTTATATCGGAGCAGGTGAGCCACCACCCTCCAGTTAGTGCCTTCCACGCTGAGGGCCTGAAGCAGGACTTTGTGTTTCATGGATCCATCTACCCCAAACTCAAGTTCTGGGGGAAAAGTGTAGAGGCTGAGCCAAAAGGTGTCATCACCCTGGAGCTGCCCAAGTAAGACTTTCTGGATGATTCAACAAAATATGACATAAATTTTGAAAGGTTTGGACATTGTGTAAAATTTAATTAATAAGACTGTAATGATTGGCGAATCTAAATTTTAGTCACAATGGATCATAGTTAAAATATTTTTTTTTTTTTAGGCAAAAATAAAGGAGTTTGGAATTTTATGGCATCAACACATCTCAAAAGGATTGGGACAGTGTCATGTTTATCACTGTAAAGCATCCCCTTTTCTTAAAGAAACAGAAGCATCTGTAAACATCTAGTGAGGAAACCAGCTGCTGGAGGTGTTTGAGGGGAACATTGTCTCATTTTTGTCGGATGTAGGATTCCAGCTAATCAAATAATTCAGTTCAGTTCAGTTTATCTATAAAGTGCCAAGTCGCAACAGAAGTTGCCTCAGGGCACTGAACAGAAACATCCACGTACATGAAAGTGCCAATTAGTAAAAGTTATCTATCTAAAGAAGGAAGCCAGCAGATTGTGTTGAATCTTCACTTTGTCACTGTCTCCCATCCTGAGCAAGCACAAAGGAGACAGTGGAAAGGAAAAACTCCCTTTAAGAGGAAGAAACCTCTAGCAGAACCAGGCTCAGGACCATCTACTTCGACTGACTGTGCTTGAGAGAACAGGAAGTAGAAACAAACAAACACAGAATGACAGGTCTGGATGTACTTTCTATAGGAGGAAAGACAAAAACATGTTAAGATAGGAATAATTACAAATACAAACTGGTAGTGTGGAGTAAATAAACACAGGTAGTCAGTTTGTCCTCCAGCAGTCTAAGCCTATAGCAGCATAACTAAGGATAGCTCAGGAAACCCAGGCCAATGCTAATATTAGGACTTATCACCAACACTGTGTGGGTGGTGTGCTGCTGACCTTAACTTGGGATGTCGTGGGTCGGTGGACAGAGTACTTCAAAGACCTCCTCAATCCCACCAGCATGTTTTCCACTGAGGAAGCAGAGCCTGGGGACTTTGGGTCAGGCTCTCCAGTCTCTGGTGCTGAGGTCACCGAGATGGTTAAAAATCTCCTCAGTGGCAGAGCCCCGGGGGGTGGATGAGATTCGCCTGGAGTTCCTTAAGGCTCTGGATGTTGTAGGGTCATGTTGGCTTACATGACTGTGCAATATTGTGTGGACATTTGGGGCAGTTCCCTTGGATTGGCAGACCAGAGTGGTGGTCCCCCTATTCAAAAAAAAGGGGATCGTAAAGTGTGTTCCAACTACAGGGGGATCACGCTCTTAAGCCTCCCTGGTAAGGTATATTCAGGGGTTCTGGAGAGGAGGGTTCTTCAGATAGTCAAACCTTGGATTCAGGAGGAGCAGTGTGGTTTTTGTCCTGGTAGTGGAACACTGGACCAGCTCTACACTCTCAGCAGAGTCCTGGAGGGTGTGTGGGAGTTTGCCCAACCAGTCTAGAAGGCACTCAACTGTGTTCCTCAGGAATTTATTAACCTTTATTTAACCAGGCAAATCCCATTGAAATCACAGATCTCTTTTGCAAGGGAGGCCTTGGCCTGAAGGCAGCCTAACATGCATGTTTTTGATATGTGGGAGGAAACCAGCATACCCGGAGAAAACCCACGCAAGCACAAGAAGAACATGCAAACTCCACAGGTCCTACCAGGGATTAAATCCAGGACCTTCTTGATGTGAAGCAACAGTGCTAACCACTGAGCTGTCATGCTGCCACAAACCCTGTGGGGGTTACTCTGGGAGTAAGTCGGGCTCATTCCCGGTGAGAGTTGGACTCCGCCAAGGTTGCCCTTTGTCACTGATTCTGTTCATAATTTCTATGGACAGAATTTCTAGGTGCAGCCAAGGTGTTGAGGGGATCCGTTTTGGTGGCCTTAGGATCACGTCTCTGCTTTTTGCAGATGATGTGGTCCTGTTGGCTTAATCATGTTGTGATCTACAGCTTTTGCTGGAGCGGTTCAAAGCCGAGTGTGACGCGGCCGGGATGAGGATCAGTTCCTCCAAATCTGAGGCCGTGGTCTTGAGTTAGAAAAGGATAGAGTGGGTCTGGTCTGGGTCAGGGAGGAGGTCCTGCCCCAAGTGAAGGAGTTTCAGGGTCTTGTTCATGAACGGGGGAAAAAATAGAGTGAGAGAACGATAGGCGAAGCTCTCAATTTACCAGTCCATCTACATTCCTACACTCATCTATGGTCATGAGCTTTGGGTTTTGACTGCAAAAACGAGATCACGGATACAAGCGGCCGAAATGAGTTTTCTCCTCAGGGTGTCTGGGCTCTTCCTTAGAGATAGGGTGAAAGCTCGAACATCTGGGAGGGACTCAGAGTAGAGCCGCTGCTTCTCCACGTCGAGAGGAGCCAGTTGATGGGGCTCGGGCATCTGGTTAGGATGCCTCCTGGGCTCCTCCCTGGTGAGGTGTTCTGGACATGTCCCACCGGGATGAGACCTAGAGGAAGACCCAGGACACGCCAGAGGGACTATGTTTCTCAGCTGGCCTGGGAACGCTTTGGGATTCCCCCGGAGTAGTTGGCTCAAGTGGCTTGTTGAGAGAGACGTCTGGGCCTCCCTACTTAGGCTGCTACCCCCGTGACCCGACCCCGAATAAGTGGAAAAAAATGGATGGATGGATGGATGGATTGATGGATTGATGGATTGATTGATGGACTGATGGACTGATTTGACAGGGAGCCAATGGAGAGCAGCTAAAACTGGGTCCTGGGTCATTTTTGCTGGAAATTTTGTTTGAGAATGTGCCACATGTTTTCAGTTGGTGAGAGGTCTGAGCTGCAGCCAGACTCTTTTAATTATGAAGCCATGCTGTTGTAATGGATATTTTACCTAGTTTAGAGTTGTCTTGCTGAAATATATAAGGCCTTTCATAAAAAATACTGTACATTGTCTGGATATGCTGTTCTAATTCCTGAATATACCTTTCCAGATGTGTAAACTTCTCATGCCAGAGACACTAATGCACACCCATACCATCATTCATTCATTCAACCTTTATGTATACAGGTTAATCCCACTGAGTCTCGGGGACTCATTTACAAGAGACCTGAAAGGCAGGCAGGCAGTAGGTAGGTGTTTGAACTGTGTACTGATAACAGGCTGGATGGTCCCTCTTTTCTTTGACATGGTGTTTATAGTTCCCAGAAGTAATTTTAAATTTTGATTCCTCTGATCATAGAACAGTTTTCCACTTTGCCTCGCTCCGTTTTAAAGAATCTTTGGCTTAGAGAAGATTGCAACATGTGGCATATATTCACATATGGCTTATTTTTTAATGTATATAGCTCAAATGGTCCAATGTCATACTTTAAACATTTTTTGTTTACTATCTCCCATTGTGAGTAAAATATGGGTTCATAAAATTTGCAAATTATTGCAATTTGTTGTTTATATATAACCGTGTCCAAACTTAGTCAGACAGAAAAAGTTGTAAAATAGAATCTCAAGTTGCAGCAAAGTTTCTTTAAAGTTATTTTGCCTAAAAAATGTTTTCCAACAGGCACAATGAAGTCTACACATGGACAAACCCGACATGTTGTGTTCACAACATCATTGTTGGTCAACTTTGGATTGAGCAATATGGAAACGTGGAGCTGATCAACCACAGGTCTGAGAGCAAAAACATTAAAACATGCACAGCAGTGTGTAAAAGTTTAAAACTATTAGTATGTTGCTTCCAAGCAGCCCAACATTTCTGTAGCTTTTTAAAGTGGTCATGCTCAGTGGTTTTCCAGACTTTTTGAAGATCTTTCAAAGTTTTTCTCTGAACTATAGCTGCTTTTAAAAATAACTTTCACTCCAGTCATGGAACCTGACCATGGCAGCATACTGTGCAGTGTGTTCTTGAAAAAAACAACCTTTGTAAAGCACATGAACGTGATCTAAGGTCGTTTTCACACCAGATAGTCCGGTAGACTCGGTTCGGTTGGGGACCAATATTCATGAGCTTTTGTTACATTTGAACTGGTGCGTTTGCATTCACACTGCACTGTGCAGTCGAGCCAACCTGTTGAACCAACCTGTTGAACCAACCTGTTCCCCCGCTCACCTGTGGGGGCGCTGCACCAAGAACTACTGAAAGAAACGACACAAAAACGTCTTCTTCTGTAAATAAAAATAAAAACGAAGTGGCATCAAGTTTTAGCAGTTTTAGGAGTTATATTTTGTCATTTTTCAACAATGGACTCAGCATGAGCAGAAGATGAGACAGAAGACCACGGAGAATATTGTTTTTCACACAAGGCAGCTGACGGCTCCATATGAGGTCAGAGAAATGTGTGTTTGTTTACCCTGCGGAGCGGGGCTCGGTCTGTTTACATTCACACTGTACTGGAACCGCGCTGGAGTTCTCTTCTACCGGACCGAGACCTAGGTTTTAGCCCGGGCCAGAGTTCACCTTTTTGTTCCGTGACAGAGTTCGATGGCGCGTTCACACCTCCCTAAACGAACCGGACTTTCTAGGAAAACGAGCTAGAGTTGTATTAAAGTGGACTAAACAGGGCTGGTGTGAATGCACCCTTAAAGTCTAGTCTTTAAACATCAAAACATTAATTAAAGACCTGAATCAGAACCTGAGAGATACATCCTTCATTTGATCATCTACCAATAGCTTTCTTAAAATCAATACATTTGTGTTGAAATATTATATTATGTCAAAACGTGTCCTCTTGTTTTTTGTATGAATTCAACTGAAAAATATAAGAGCTAATTGTGTCTTTATGATGGACTGTATGGGTAAGAACACTGTCAAAATAAACATGTATGTAAAGACAGAAATGTGTACATATTAGTGAGTAGTTGTGCATAACTAGAATTTGTACATGTATGTTTCATTTGGGGCAACACGGCGGCGCAACTGTTAGAGCTGCTGCCTCTCAGCGAGAAGGTTGCCGGTTCAAATCCCGGCCCGGGGGCCTTTCTGGGTGAGGTTTGCATGTTCTCTCCGTGCATTTATGGGTTTTCTCTGGGTACTTCGGTTTCCTCCCACAAACCAAAAACATGCATGTTAGTCTGATTGGTAACTCTAAATTGTCCCTAGGTGTGAATGAGAGAGTGAATGGTTGTTTGTCTCTGTGTGTCCCTGTGATGGACTTGCGACCCATCCAGGGTGTACCCCGCCCCTCGCACAGTAACTGCTGGACATGGGCACCGGCGACCCCCGTGATCCAAAATGGAAGAAGCGGTTAAAAGATGATGGATGGATGTTTCATTTGTAAAAATGCAATTTTAAAAATTACAACTTCACAAACGTACAAATACAAATTTCAAGTTTACAGTTACTGTTTACTCTTTGAGTACAATGAAATATGGCCGTTTGTGAAAACAATTTTTTATCTTATGTGAATATGAATTTACAACTGTGATCTTAATCACAAGGTCACAGAACACATCGATATGACTTGCGCATGTATTCAGATCAAGTTCCAGTTTTGATCGTATAAAACCATCTTCCTTTTCTTTCTACATCCCATCTTTTCTGCCATTCTTCCTTCAGTTTTTGATGATACTCCTCGCCTCTGATTTACTTGTATGTACTGTGAAGTTATTATGATTTTGAGTTGCCTTCTTTGCCATCTTCGCAGTCATCTCATTTCCTTTTCTTCCAATATGTGCTGGTACCCATAAAAACGCTATTGTTAATCCCTTGCTTTGTATTCTGAATAATGTGTGGAGTATTTCTAATAAAATGTCTGGCCTGCTCTCTGAATGATTGTGTTTTAAACTCAATAATATGAAACTTGAAACGAAGGTCCATCCATCCTCCCTCCCTCTCTTCCTCCCTCCTCCACTATTCTGAAGTCAGGTCTCTGGGGCAGCAGCTTAAACAGGGAGGTCCAGATATCTCTTTACACATCCACCTCTTCCAGATCTCTGGGAGGACCCCAAGGTGTTTCCAGGCCAACTGAAAGACGTAATCTCTCCAGCATGTCCTGGGTCTTCCCCGGGGTCTTCTCCTAGTCAGACATGCCCAAAGCACCTCCCTAGGGAGGCGCCAAGGAAACATCCTTACCAGATGCCTGAACCACCTCAACTGGCTCCTCTCCATGTGGAGGAGCAGTGGTTCTACTCCAAGTCTCTCCTGGATAACTGAACTTTTCACCCTATCTCTAAGGGAGAGTCCAGGTACACTGCGGAGGAACAGTTCAACCACCTGTATCCATGGTCTCATTCTTTCAGTCACTACCCAGAGTTCATGACCATAGGTGAGGGTAGGAATTTAGACGGACTGTTAAACGGAGAGCTTTGACTTACAGCTCAGCTCCCTCTTGGTACAGAATCTACAATTCTGCTGATGCTGCACCAATCCATCTTTCAATCTCACGCTCCGTTCTTCCCTCACTCATGAACAAATTGATAAATGAACTGTACTTAAACAGTGCCCTTCTATCTTATCAAGATACTCGAAGTGTTTTACAACACAATCTGGGCCCTCATTTACCCATTCATACAACACTCTACTATATCTATACAAAGAATAACCAGTGCTTTATCACATTCATATATGGATGGGAAGCACATCAGAGACAATGATGGGTTTAGTGTCATGCCCAGGGACACTTCAGAATGTGACTGCTGGTGGAATCAAACCCCCAACTCTTGCATTGGAGGATGACTGCTCTAACCACTCAGCCACAGCCACCTGAACAAAACCCCAAGATACTTGAACTCCACTTGAGGCAGAACCTCACCCTTGATCCGAAGAGAGCAATCCACCCTTTTCCAACTGAGGACCATGGCCTCAGATTTGGAGGTGCTGATTCTCATTCCAGCTGCTTCACACTCAGCTGTGAACCGCTCCAGTGAGAGCTGGAGATCACAACACGCTGACGCCAACAGGACCACATCAGCTGCAAGGAGCAGAGATGGAATCCTGAGGCCAAAGAACCGGACTCCCTCCGCCCCCTGGCTGCACCGAGAAATTCTGTCCATAAGAGTTATGAACAGAATATGTGACAATGGGCAGCCCTGGTGGATTCCAACTCCCCACCCTGAAGGGGTCCAAATTACTGCCGGAAATGCAAAGCAAACTCTCGCACCACTTGTATAGGGACCAAACAGCCCATAACAACCAGCCCCAAATCCCATACTCATGGAGCACCCCCCACAGTGTACCCTGAGGAACATGGTTGAATGCCTTCTCCAAGTCCACAAAACACAGGCAGACTGGATGGGCAAACTCCCATGACCCCTCAAGGACTTTAGTGAGGGTAAAGAGCTGGTCCAATGTTCCATGGTCAGGACGGAACCCACATTGTTCTCTTGGATCTGAGATTCGACCAAAGATTTGACTCACTTCTCCAGTGCCCCTGAATAGACCTTACCAGGGAAACTTTGAGTATGAACAAACTATTGTTTTCAATGGTTTTAAGTCTTCAACACACTGTATTGATAATAGAACAGCTAAAATTTCTCCTGTGTAAACTGATGATCCATTGGTGATCAGTGGTGGGATGTAACTAAGTACAAATACTTCGTTACTGTACTTAAGTACATTTTTCATGTATCTGTACTTTACTTAAGTAGAGTTAAATGTGGGTACTTTATACTTTTACTCCACTACATTTTACATCAAGTATCTGTACTTTCTACTACACTACATTTCTATAACGCGTTGCATTACAAGTTACATTCATGTTGCAGCTTTTTGATTTGTTTGTTACTTTGAAAGTAACCAATGGTGAGAAGGGAGTTGGTCCATTGAATCACTGCAGAGTGGGCAGGTAACGTTAGACCTGCCTTCAAGAAGAGCTGGACCAGTGACATATATTCTAGTATATATGTCACTGAGCTGGGTGCACCTGCAGCACCACTAACACACTGAAATGTATTCCAGCGCAAGAGAGTCAGTCAGAAGATACACGCCACCCATGTCCTTATTGAAAGACTCAGTACAGCAGGACAGATTCTCTCTCCCTAAAGATCCAGACTGGACTCAAAAATCTTTGAAAACAACTTCTTCTGAACTTGAACAAGAAATTCTTGTGTCAGTTCATGATGTTAGGAGACCAGACATGTCTCCAAATGTCTCGACACTCAGGTCCAAGTTTTAAAAATGTGTCAGGAAGTTAAAATATTGTTCAATATTGATCCATTACAAGGTCGACTAGACAGGATTTAACTAGAGTTGATGACAAACTGGAGTTGAAATGATCAGAGCCTGTTCCTTTGTTGTGTCTAATGCTCCTTTTTTCAGGCAGACAACTTTTACTTAAATGTGTTTACTGCAGTTAAAATGACACAATGGTTTTACTTTGTGTTAAATAAAAACTTTCAAAGGTATAATCATTCCTCTTTCGTATTTTGCTTAATGACATTTAACTCTGCAGGTCATCCCTGAAATTCTGACACAGAATCACAAGTCCAAGTGTGAACTGTGTCACAGAGTAAACACAATAAAAACATGTATTATCTGCAGCATTGTTCATTAAAATGGAACAACACTATTAATGTATTACAGAAAATATACATACAGTAGGTACACTTAATGATATGTAGACCATTGCATTATGTAATTAGGAAGTACTTTTAATACGTTAAGTATTTTTAAAGCAAGCACTTATTTACTTTTACTTGAGTAAACATGTTAATGTTGTACTTCTACTTTTACTAGAGTACATTTTTGCCTGTTTATTTGTACTTTTACTTAAGTACAGTGTTTGAGTACTTTCTCCACCACTGTTGGTGATTCCTTTTCCTATTTTTAAAAGAACTTTGGATGGTGCTATTGAGTTACCGTAAAATGGAGAAGCGTTTACAATGCATGTGCAACGCGTATCAATGTGTGTATTGTGCTCCATTAATCAGTCTGTGACCCCGTGACGTAAGATCACAGTTGTAAATTCAAATTCTCATAGAAAAATTTGTTTTCACAAACAGTCATAGTTATTTGTATTCATAAACATTAGAGCACAACTGTAAACTTGAAGTTTGTATTTGTACATTTGTGATGTTGTAACTTTTTAAATTTTATTTTTACAAATGAAACAATACTTGTACAAATTCTAATTATGCACAACTATTGACTAATATGCACACATCTCTGTCTTTACGTACACATTTATTTTGACAGTGTTCTTACCCCGTAAGGCTGCTGGTACCAAACTGCCTTAAGATCACGTTTACTTTGTTTTTTGCTAAATTGTCTGTTAGGTAATACAACACAGATTCATCCCTTGAATTTAAGAGGCTTTTATGCCTGAATGACTCATAAATCAGATTTAAGTGAAACACAACCTAAACAATGGTCAGGGGTTTTCTGAAGCTGTACATCAACTTCTTCTTTTGAATGCTCAGGACAGTAATTAATGCTTAATTAATAATAATAAAGAAGTCCACAGCCACTGTAAGAGCTTTGTTAGAGCCATGACAAAGTACATTTAATATGTAACAAAATGCCTATTTACTTTATTTCTCTGTGACACAGTAAAGACACTGAATTTATCTGACTTGCTTTTATTTAGCTAACTTACATATTTTACTAATTAACAGCTAACATTTTGTAAGACTCGAACAGAAAAGTTAAAATCTTGTTTTTCTTCTTTGTTTCTCAGAACCGGTGAAAAGTGCTGTCTGAATTTCAAACCATGCGGACTCTTTGGAAAGGAGCTGCACAAAGTTGAAGGTTACATTCTTGATAAAAGGTACAGCTTGACGATGAAAAAACTTTTTAAGGGTTTTTGCTTGAATAGTATTTTTTGTCTTGAATTCTGGCATGAAAATTGTAAATTAAAATGAAGCTAAATTAACTTCAAACTCATTTTCAGCTGTAAAGTTTGAACTCGTGCCACACGCTGGATTATTCTTCTCTGTTTGGCATGTTGGCAACATATTTTAAGATGCCAAACGTATCAGAAGAAAATTGTTTTGCTTAATATAAAGTGAAATGACATCAAATGAATGTGATTTTCAAACAGCTAATTCATATGCCTGAGGGTTTCCAAATCATCTTCTACGAGACATTAGCACTAATTTAATTCAATAAGCTGCTTACAGGAGGTTCAAAGTGAAGTGGCACTCAGGGAGGTCCATGACCAAAACGTCCTGTTGGGGAGTTTGAGCAAAAAGTAATTTACGCTCCAACATTCAATCCTTTAGCCGGGGTTCACCTTTTCTTCAAGCTTTATAAAAAGTCCACCTGGTGGTTTATTGTGTAATCTTGTTCTCAGACCGAGGGCCATCAATTAAAAAAATAAAATTGCCCCCAGCTGCGTTGCCTCCCTGGCAGTGGAACAATTGGCACTGTTTATGGGTTATTACAGAGAAAAACAGCTCTTTGGACATACGTGCACTGATGCAACAAATCCACGAGTGAGAAAATCATGAAAGAAGCAAAAACAGGCGAAACAAAGAGGAACAGATGGTTTAGTCCAAGCAGAGCCTGTGAGTCAACAAAAATGACTGGACACAACATTGTGCAACACAACAGTACTGAGAAACAACACACAAATATAAAAGTGAGAAACAAGAGCCGTCTCTTTCTGGCTCGTCTTTAACCGACATCTCCCACACCGAAAATTACTTCTACTTTGTTCAGTTTTGAGGCTTTGTCAGGTAAAAGCTTTTTATCTGTTGAAACTTTAAACTGGCTGAAATCATCACAAGCATTTGTGCCTGAAGGTGTGTGTGTGTGCATGTGTGTGTGTGCATGTGTGTGTGTGCATGTGT